GCAGGATGAGCTGTCCCTGCAGCCCTGGCCTTGGCTGTCGCAGCGCGATCTTCGGAGAGCGTCGGGAACTCCGGCAGGCTCGGCTTCGCCCCGCTGGAGATCCTGCCGCTCAGTCCTCCTGCGGCCTCGAGGCCCCCAGAGCTACTCTTCTCTGCGGGTGGCAGAAGCCCCGCCTGGCTTTCGCAGGATCTCGAAGTTCGGTGAGGAGGAGCTGCGAGCGCTCCCCGAAGCGGCCCCTCGACTCGGGACGGCATGAAATAAATTCGGTGTCAGTGATGTGATATGTCATGATATGTCGCATATACGCAGCGGGGGCGTCTCATTTCTAGCATACCACCAGAGTCACCAGAGTGGCCTTTCCCAGCGCAGGTTTGGCGGACGCCGCTCATGGCCAGCATCCTGGGCCCCGTCCTTATTTTACTTGAGCGGGGGTCAAGGGGGGAGGTTTCTGCACGATAAATTTGAAATTAACTATCCATGCTATCAGAAGACTGGGAAACTGACCCGGCAGAGGCACATATCCTCGGGGCCAGAAGGACCGGAGCACCAAATGCCTCTGCTCTCTGGCTTCTGATTCCCGTTTTGGACGACCTAGCCTCTCCCTTTCTCGCCCTCTCGAGGTTGTAGACAGAGAGTACATCAGTATGCACATCACCATTGGTGATGACTGCTGCAGAAAGCGCTCGACGGCGCCACGGCAGAGCTGGTGCTGATGGAGCACGCTGTGAAAACGCTGCTGAAGCAGGCGAGAGCCAGAAACAGTATAGAATCGTGTGAATGTGTCGCAGCCAGAAATGCTACAAGTCTGGTGCGTCTGTTGCGTCTGCCGGTGTATCGGCAGAGCCAGGCAGAGGAGCGGACCGGCTGCAAGGAGCTGCGAGCAGAGCTGGGCCCGCTGTGCTTGGCCAAGCTCCAGGCAACTCCGCCGGGCACCGCAGAGAACTTCTGGAATGCGCTTGCGCTCTCACTGCAGGCGGGCCAGCGGCTGCTGTTGGAGTCGGACTTCACCAGCCAGGCAGGAGCTGCACGAGCACCCATGGGTGACTCTGCATGAGGTCTTGGAAGACCTCCATCCAGTCCCAAGTAGAAGGAGCGAGAACAGCAAGCGAAGTTCCCTCTTGATGTCCATAGAGGTTGATACAGTCGACACTTCAACATCAGCACAAAGATGCATGTGAGTCGCTCCTTTGGCCATCTGGGGCATGCTGCCCTCACCACTCGAACCCATCAGGCATGCACTGCTGACCTAATTGTTATCTGTTTCTGCATCCAGGTCGTCTTCCAGGAAGCGCAGCTCGGGCACTTGAGATTCTTCGAGCCGTCTGGCCAAGCGGTGTCGCAAGCCGCGCTTGCAGATTCATCGGCTCGAAAGCTCGCAGTGGTCCGCACTCGTTGCCAGGTGCAGCTGTACCACCTGCGAATGCAGGAGTATCTGGCCGCAGAGGCGTCGCGCGCAGATGGCACTTGCATGCATTTTTTTTAACTGACGTCGGGAGCGTATGATGTTGATGATGATGATGATGATGCTGCTGATGAGTCGCGGCTGGCAGGCCCGGTTGGCGGGTGCCCAAGCGCCGGCCTGGAGTGAAGCCTTCGAAGAAGCGCAGCAGCAGCCGATGCTGCGAGGCCTGCGCATCGTGCCATTTTTGCAATATCATTTGCGTGTATTCAGTTTTCACAAAGGGAAAGCAAGCTCGCATACAGCCATAGTTACAAAACAAAAGAACCATGGCTTCAGCTCCGGGGTCCCACAGGTGCCCTCCGCTTCTGTCTGATGATGCAGACGGCCCATGCGGCGGAGGCGGAGATCGACCTTGTGAATTTAAAGCTGGTCGAGGCGGACGCAGAGGCTTTTCAAGGAGTCCTTGTGCATAGGCGAGAGGGCGAGCTGACACTGCTGTGGTCGCTGCAGAGTACGTAGGAGCTCTGCTTTGCAGCGAGAAGCTGGTTCTCAACTTGGATGAGAACCATCTGGGTGAGGGACCCGGGGCTGCTCGGGTTCATTCCAACCGCCATCGGTGGCGTCTGTGGGCCAGGCATGTCATAATATGCGCGGTGAGCTTGCGGAGGCTCAGTACAGCCCAACCAGCCAGCACGAACAGCCAGCACGTGGAAGGATTCCGTTTCAACAGGGTGTGACAGCTAGTGGCTGTTAGCATGATTAGCTCGCTCAGGTCTCGGGGGTCCAGCAACTGATTGATTTCAGAATGCTCATTGACGGATTTTGCTTTCGGGGGCTTCTGCTCCAGTGCGAGGCCCCGAAGGCGGCAGCAGCCTGGCCTCGGCACTGCCCAAACGCCTCCGACGGCTGGAGCTGAAGCTGCATAAAAACAGAATCGGCCGGGGATCCCAGGGCGATTCCTCGGATGGCCAGGAAGGGTGCTCCTGATGTGCGAGAGCTGGAGAAGGGCACCACTGCTGTTGCATCTGCACTTCTGCGTAGCGCTCTTTCCCAAAGGCCTCGGCATCTCTTGCAGTCCAATGACCCAAGAAAAAACATTGAGAAACGTTTTGATGGCGTCCATACAAGTCTTTATGCGATCTCGATGGGGACAGCGCGGTTCCACATCCGCGGGTCCACATTGTGCAAGCCTTGTACCTTCCAGGTCTCGCCCAGTTGTCAATCCTGGGTTGAGGGTGTGATGCATGCAGAATACGTTACCTGAGACGTGAGTCAGCGGTGCCAAGTCCGTCCGACAATGCAGAAGAAGACCGACGAGCCACCTCAGCAAGCTTTTGCGCAGTAACGGTCGGCAGACATGACATCGCCACCAAATCCAAACCAGGCGAGGGCCAAGATGAAACAGGACCCAAGACTTGAGCATCGTGGAGCCTCTGTGTAATCGAGTTTACTGAGCCAAAAGATGTGGGCACTCTGCGAAAAGTTCGGTGCAGAGCGGTTTCGCCCGAGGCGTGGCGGGCGCCCGCGCCCTGGCCGCCAGCTTGGCCGAGCTCCCGCTCCAAGAGCTGCGGCTGGGGCTGGAGCTGAACGAGATCGGCCCGGGGCCCCAGGGAGGAAAGGCCCATATCTGGCCCGGGGCTCGGAGCTCCGAGGGGAGGCTCGGAGCGGATCTCTGCTTCTAAGGTGTGCCCATGAAGAAGCCTTGAGTTCTGCATCCAACTTGATGCGCATGACAGATTCCAGCATGCCTCCGAGGCGCCGACGGGGCCCAAGCCTTGGCAGCTGCCATGGCCAAGCTGCCCCAGCTCCAGAAGCTGGAGCTGATTCTGAGCCACAACTCGCTGGGCTCGGGGGCCCAGGTGTCTGCGGCCGTTAGGTCTCCGGGGATCCAGGTTAACCTCGCAGCCTTGTGGAGACACGTCCATGGCGAGTCTATGACCTTTCCTGACTGAGTCGAGCACCGTTTCGTCGTCAAAAGCCCAAACTCCTTGAAATCTCCTTCTTTTGGAGGGTCAGGCGAAGCTGCTGCATGGATTTCCGTTTCTTGCTGTTCCAATCTGCGAACTGCTTCCGCGGATTCCACCGAGAGAGAGCCTGAGTGAGAGATGCAGACACGGAGTTATTGGTTTCCATGCGCAGCCAAGCCCTTACTGTATGCTGCGAGCTGCCTCCTTCCCACACCACTTGCGGCAGAGCGTTCAGCAAGCCTGCAACTCGGGGAGATGCTGATCCCACGCCCAGTCATGCCGTTGCTGCTTGTAGATGGTGCGCCCTGGGAGGTCCCAAAACACAGTTCATGCCCACAACCCAAAGCCACAATGAAGGATAGAGCGGCGGCTGAGTTGGGAGGCAAGCGCAAGGTGTCGACCTTGCAAAACTCCGGCATGAATTCGTAGACCGCGCGTTTCCTGCCTCCTGGTTCGAGACCTCATCTGGTGGCTTCTGGATCTCAGCTTCTCTTCAGCCCTTCTTTTGGCAGAATTTGCTTGGAGTCGCGGCGTAATGGAGCCTCCGGAACGGGCAGATTATGGGCACTCTGCGAAAAGTTCGGTGCAGAGCGGTTTCGCCCGAGGTGTGGAGGGCACCCGCGCCCTGGCCGCCAGCTTGGCCGAGCTCCCGCTCCAAGAGCTGCAGCTGGACCTGCAGGGGAATGAGATCGGCCCGGGGCCCCAAGGGAGGAAAGGCCCATATGGCCCGGGGCTCGGAGCTCCGAGGGGAGGCTCGGAGCGGATCTCTGCTTCTAAGGTTTGCCCATGAAGAAGCCTTGAGTTCTGCATCCAACTTCATGCGCATGACAGATTCCAGCATGCCTCTGAGGCGCCGACGGGGCCCAAGCCTTGGCAGCTGCCATGGCCAAGCTGTCCCAGCTCCAGAAGCTGGAGCTGGATCTCTATCAGAACTCGCTGGGCTCGGGTGCCCAGGTGTCTGCGGCCGTTAGTTCTCCGGGGCTCCAGCTTAACCTCGCAGCCTTGTGAAGACGTGTCCATGGCGAGTCTATGACCTTTCCTGACTGAGTTCGCGCACCGTTTCGTCGTCAAAAGCCCAAGCTCATTTAAATCTCGTTCCCTGGAGGGTCGGGCGAAGCTGCGCGGGTTTCCGTTTCTTGCTGTTCTGGGCTGCAGTACCGATCAGACATTTCAACTGCTTCCACGGAGAGTGCCGGAGTGAGAGATGCAGACGCGGAGTTATTGGTTTCCATGCGCAGCCAAGCCCTTGTGCTGCAAGCTGCCTCTTGCCACGCCACTTGCGACCGCGCGTTCAGCAAGCCTTCAACTCGGGAAGATGCTGATCCCGCGCCCAGTGAGGCCGTTGCTGCTTGTAGATGGTGCACCCTGGGAAGTGCCAAGACGAAGTTCATGCCCACAACCCGAAGCCACAAAGAAGGATAGAGCGGCGGCTGAGTTGGGAGGCAAGCACAAGGCGTCGAGTTCGTAGACCACACGTTTCCTGTCCGAAGCACAGCTCCGATCCAACAGAAACGGCCTGGTTCGAGACAGACAACTTCTGGTGCCTTCTGGATCTCAGCTTCCCTGAAGTCTTTTTCCCGCAGACTTTGCTTGGAGCCTCTGTGTAAACGAGCCCCTGGAATGGGCAAAAGATGTGGGCACTCTGCGAAAAGCTCGGCGTGCAGAGCGGTTTCGCCCGAGGTGACGCGGCCGCCTGCGCCCTGGCCGCCAGCTTGGCCGAGCTCCCGCTCCAAGAGCTGCGGCTGGAGCTGCGGCAGAACGAGATCGGCCCGGGGCCCCAAGGGAGGAAAGGCTCATATGGCCGGGGCTCGGAGCTCCGAGGGGAGGCTCGGAGCGGATCTCTGCTTCTAAGGTTTGCCCAAGAAGAAACCCTTTTGAGTTCTGCATCCAACTTCACGCGCATGGCAGATTCCAGCATGCCTCCGAGGCGCCGAAGGGGCCCAAGCCTTGGCAGCTGCCATCGCCAAGCTGCCCCAGCTCCAGAAGCTGGAGCTGTTTCTGATCGACAACTCGCTGGGCTCGGGGGCCCAGGTGTCTGCGGCCGTTAGGTCTCCGGGGATCCAGGTTAACCTCGCAGCCTTGTGAAGACACGTCCATGGCGAGTCTATGACCTTTCCTGACTGAGTCGAGCACCGTTTCGTCGTCAAAAGCCCAAACTCCTTGAAATCTCCTTCTTTTGGAGGGTCAGGCGAAGCTGCTGCATGGATTTCCGTTTCTTGCTGTTCAGGGCTGCAGTACCGATCAGACATTTCAACTGCTTCCGTGGATTCCACGGAGAGAGTGCCGGAGTGAGAGATGCAGACACGGAGTTATTGGTTTCCATGCGCAGCCAAGCCCTTACTGTATGCTGCGAAGCTGCCTCTTGCCACACCACTTGCGGCAGAGTGTTCAGCAAGCCTGCAACTCGGGGAGATGCTGATCCCACGCCCAGTCATGCCGTTGCTGCTTGTAGATGGTGCGCCCTGGGAGGTCCCAAAACACAGCTCATGCCCACAACCCAAAGCCACAATGAAGGATAGAGCGGCGGCTGAGTTGGGAGGCAAGCACAGGGTGTCGAGTTCGTAGACCACGCGTTTCCTGTCCGAAGCACAGCTCCGATCCAACAGAAACGGCCTGGTTTGAGACCTCTTCTGGTGCCTTCTGGAATCTGCTTCCCTGAAATCTTGCGTACTGGAGCCTCTGGAACGGGCAAAAGATGTGGGCACTCTGCGAAAAGCTCGGTGCAGAGCGGTTTTCGCCCGAGGCGACGTTGGCGCCCGCGCCCTGGCCGCCAGCTTGGCCGAGCTCCCGCTCCAAGAGCTGCAGCTGAACCTGCTGCTTAACAAGATCGGCCCGGGGCCCCAGGGAGGAAAGGCCCATATGGCCGGGGCTCGGAGCTCCGAGGGGAGGCTCGGAGCGGATCTCTGCGTATAAGGTTTGCCCAGGAAGAAACCTTGACTTCTGTGTCCAACTTCATGCGCATGACAGATTCCAGCATGTCTCCGAGGCGATGACGGGGCCCGGGCCCTGGCAGCGGCCGTCGCCCAGCTGCCCCTCCGGAAGCTGGAGCTGGATCTGTGGGACAACTCGCTGGGCTCGGGGGCCCAGGTGTTTGTGGCCGTTATGTCTCCGGAGCTCCAGGTTGAAAAGTTGACCTCGCGGCCTTGTGAAGACACGTCCATGGCGAGTCTATGACCTTTCCTGACTGAGTCGAGCGCCGTTTCGTCGTCAAAAGCCCAAACTCCTTGACATCTCCTTCTTTTGGAGGGTCAGGCGAAGCTTTTCGGATTTCCGTTTCTTGCTGTTCAGGGCTGCAGTACCGATCAGACATTTCAACTGCTTCCGTGGATTCCACGGAGAGAGTGCCGGAGTGAGAGATGCAGACACGGAGTTATTGGTTTCCATGCGCAGCCAAGCCCTTACTGTATGCTGCGAAGCTGCCTCTTGCCACACCACTTGCGGCAGAGTGTTCAGCAAGCCTGCAACTCGGGGAGATGCTGATCCCACGCCCAGTCATGCCGTTGCTGCTTGTAGATGGTGCGCCCTGGGAGGTCCCAAAACACAGCTCATGCCCACAACCCAAAGCCACAATGAAGGATAGAGCGGCGGCTGAGTTGGGAGGCAAGCACAGGGTGTCGACCCTGCAGAACTCCGGCATGAATTCGTAGACCCCATCCGATCCAAAGAAACGGCCTGGTGGATCTCTGCTTCCCCGAAGTCTCTGCCGCAGATTTTCCTTGGAGGCACCGCATATAGGAACGGGCCCAATATGGGCACTCTGCGACAAGCTCGGTGCAGAGCGGTTTTCGCCCGAGGCGACGTTGGCGCCCGCGCCCTGGCTGCCAGCTTGGCCGAGCTCCCGCTCCAAGAGCTGCAGCTGAACCTGCTGCTTAACAAGATCGGCCCGGGGCCCCAGGGAGAAAAGGCCCATATGGCCGGGGCTCGGAGCTCCGAGGGGAGGCTCGGAGCGGATCTCTGCTTGTAAGGTTTGCCCAGGAAGAAACCTTGACTTCTGTCCAACTTCATGCGCATGACAGATTCCAGCATGTCTCCGAGGCGATGACGGGGCCCGGGCCCTGGCAGCGGCCGTCGCCCAGCTGCCCCTCCGGAAGCTGGAGCTGGATCTGAGGCACAACTCGCTGCGCTCGGGGGCCCAGGTGTTTGCAGCAACCCGAACCCGCGGTTCAAGCTCTTATAGACACTTCCGACACCGAATCCCTTGTTGGGAGCGCTTTGCTTGCAAACCCGTCCAAACCTTTAAAACCCGAGCTACCCTCCGTTTCGGAGCCCCGAGCCGGCCCAGGCGATGAAGTGAAGGAGGAGCTCCGGGGCCAACTCGACGCGCTGCCCATCCCGGAGAAGGACATCGAGATCTAAAGACGAGACTGAGGCCTCCTTGTGCTGAGGCCTCGGAAGTTCTTCCTTGAGGTTTTTGGGGGTTTTCTTCCGTTTTGGGAGCACCCGCGGGTGGTTGGAGAGGAGCGAGGCTTCGGACAAGCCCCAGCCAGGTCCGAGGAGCGAGGCGGAGCAGTGGAGTGCCATGGTGCGCAGGTCGCCTGTGTTTCGAGGCATCCCGGGCCTCGGGCTCCGAGCCTTCCGCCCTGCTCGGGCTCGTCCCGGCTGTAGCGGCGAGGTCGAAGGGATGCCGGGAGAGGGATGGAGGGTTAGGGAGGTCCTTTCGAAGTATGTCGCCTGGGACAGCCGGGAGCTCTCGGGTTTGGAATCGGAATGAAGCAGCCAATCTGGGCTGCGGCAGCATTAAGGCTGCCAATCCCTTGCTTGCTCGTGCTCGCCTTGAAGGGCGGCGCTCGAGGACACTTCCGAATCATATGCTCTTCGGAGAAGCTGCGCTGACTTAGGGTGGGTTTTGCCGCGCGCCTTTAGGGACAGGGTTTTCCCACCCGGTTATCAGCTCGAAGCTCGACGCCAGAAAAAGAGCGCATCCTACCGGAGCTGTGACTGCCAGGGTCGAGTCGTGCTCCGACCCGAGCTATCAAGGCCCTACAGCCCCAAGAGGATTCCCAGCAAAGAGCCGACTTCAAGATGGAACTGAACTCAGCTTGCGGAACCTGTGATGAAGACCAGGTTGGGAGATATATGAAGGCTTTCTCCATCTTTCTCCACAAAACCGATATGCACCTCCTGTCTAGCCGTGATTTCCGTGAGATATGAGAAAGCCTTCTGCGCAAGACCGAAACGCACCTCCTGTCCAGCCCTTTAGGTGCAAGAAATTGCGAGAAGCACACAGTGTCATACAAGAAGTACCAGTATATTATGTACAAATCGGGATCTCGTCTCACGATCAACAACAGCGAACATCAGCATGATAAACCCAAAGTATCAACAGCCGGTACTGAAGAGGCGAGTCGAGTTTTCGATGCCCCACCCTCCTCACGCGCAGAGACTGTCAGTCTCCGTTGTGCTGCATTGTGTTGTGCAAAGCGACTGAAACTCCAGCTTTGTCTGCGGCGGCACTCTTTCAGCGCTTGAGGTCTTGAGTATCGCTTTTCAGGGTTGGGTTCTGGCGATTTCTTCGCGGTTTTGGGGTTTAAAGCTGGGCTGCCTTGGAGAAGCCCCGGCCGAAAGGCGGCTCTGGCTCCGCCGGCCGAATCCCTCGGAAGCTCTCCTCTTAAGTCCCACAAAAAGAGCATCTAGGCGGGGCTGGTGCCCACCTCTGGGACCTGGCTGGCGCGCTTTTCGGCTTTTGGAAAGCTCCAGAGCCTGGATCCAAAGTCCACCAAAGACGCCGGAAACCCTTCAAAAATCCTTCAAAACACAAAATCCTTCAAAACTATGAAGCCCTCAACCCCTTAAACCCTTTAAATTCCATGAAACGCCAAAACCTTAAACCTGAAACCCTGAAGCCCCGTTGTGCACCCTTGCTCGGGCCAGCCGGGATCCGCGCCCCCGAGCATGGTGCCGAGCCTAAGCCCTCAAACCCTATAAAATCCCATGAAGCATATACCACGAGGCTTCAACCACTGGCTCCTCCTAGTATAGGAGTTCTAGCTGTACCTGGCCCCCTTTTGCACCCTTTAAATTCAGCCCCAACAGCCGCTCGCCCGCGCGGCCCCGGAGCATGGCGCCGAGCCCCATCGCGGGGGGCGGCTTTCCGCTGGCTTTCGAGGACCGCCTTGGGCCGTTCAGGCCGGATGAGGGATGTTTCTAATCGTCATGGTTTTTTTAGGGCCAAAAAAAGGGGGCTCTTTTGGGTCTTAAGTTAATGGGTTATAGGGGTTCGGAAGATGTACGGTGTCCCTCAGGCGTTACGCCTTGGCCAGAGCAGGGCTCGACGGCTCCAAAGAGGGCTCCCGGGGGCTTCGTTTCTTTTCAATTCTTTTTTGGGGCTCTTGGGGGCGCCTCTAGTTACGGCTGGGATCAGTTTAGATATTTGGGGTTTAGGGTGTTAGGCAGGGTGCTACAGAATGCTACAGGGTTTGATCATTATATGGGGGCCGGCAGGGTTGTTTGCCTTTCCCCCCTACGGGGATCTTCTCCACTACGTGCACTAGCAGTTCGGGCATCTCACCGGTGTCAGGGAGACTGTCTGGTTCTTAGTAGGAATGGGGGCATGAGTTATGGGGGCTGTGATTGGGGATTGTATAGGGGGCTACTTTGGGGATCCCTTCCCCCATTCCTACTAAGAATCAGACAGAGAGGGCAGGAGTCCAGCTCCGAAGGGTTCATTCGAAATGCTGTTCCTGATGGGGTTCCCCTAAAACTTATGCTAATAAGTTTTAAAGCCCTTGTCTTGATTGAACTCCATGGGTTGCCGATTCAGGAAGCCTCGAGCACACTTCCCAGTCGATCTCTCTTGGGGTTTGCAGGCCTACGAGCAGGACTTTAAGCATGCGCCTTGAGTCAAGCAATTTCGTCTTTTGTTGCGCTTCTTGTCGTAGGTGGCCAGCCCCATGGCGGGTCCTGGGGAAGAGCCCCGGCAGCCAGGCGACGATCTGAGTGCGGCACTTGTCATGACCGAGCTCTCGAAAACAGAAGAACGGAGTTTCGGGCTTTGGAAGGCCTTCTTGAGCCTCTTGGGGCCTCGGAAAGCCGCCCAAGCGAGAGCCTCGCCGTCATCCCTTTTTCCAAGCACCTTTTTTCCCTCTTGGAACAGGAAAACGCTATTCCAAAACAGGCAGCTCCCCAAGTTCTGCCCGGTTCCATGGGCCTCTTTCCCTGATTCGGTGAGTTCTCAATCCGTGAATTCCAGTGGGAAGTTGAGGAGCCCAGGGCGGAGAGCCAGGGTTCGACAGTTTTGACATACCCGTCATCAGATTCAGAGGTGTCTGCTTCTGCTGCATCCTTACCGTTCTGGGGCTTCTGGGGTAGATCAACCAGCCGCATTCACAGCCAGAGGGCTTTTTTCAGCGGGAATCCTGTACTGTTAGTCTGCGCTGTCGTCGACGGACTCCACGACACATCTCACGGGCTTTGGGGTGGACTTCTCAGCAAATCCAAGAAGGCAAGCCCTCGCAGAAAAATCGGCACAACTGTCGGTGTTTCGCGTACCCTGTTGCGTGACTTCTCAAGGCTCGGGGTGTGCCATGTGTGTCTCTGTGGAGAACCCGTCTGGCATGCCAGCAACCATCACGGCGTTTTTCTTGCGTCCAGCTACTCAGGATGGCTCATCAACGTGCGTTTCGCTTAATTTCGAATCCATCCCCGAGCAAGCATGGCGCGGCTACCGGGGCAGCCTGCCTTGGAGGCCCTTGCACTCGCATCTTTCAGTTCCAGTCATCGCATCCATGGTGCCTCACAAGCCATTTCTCGGCTGGTCACTTGAAGTGGTACCTGGGAGGACAGCCTGCCTGGAATGCCGGAGCTTCCTGAGGAAGCCGCACCGGCCTCGGCACGTGTGCACAACTGTGTGTTCACCTGAATGGTGCACGGATCCGTTCGGTCAAAACAGCATCTGTTTCTCAGCGGTTTGCCACACGCACGTGAGGCTCCTGCATCCGCGCAGCTGTCACTGCCCTCGCGCCACTCTCAGACAAGCCTTGAACTTGATGAGGAGGCGACGCACAAAGCCGCCCTTTGCCGCATCCGCGTTCTTAGCTTGTCTTGCTATGCTTCTTTGTAGATCGGGACGGCAAGAAGATTAGTCTTAGCCATGCGGTTTTTGGCACTTCCTGTCCGATGGATTCAAAGAAGCCTTCGAGGGCCTAGTATCCACCGGCTCCGTTCTCCTTGTTTATCGCTTTCTAGTAGTATGGTTGTGACTATTATTGCCATTCTTGTTATTACTAGGTCTTCTTCTTACTGTTATTACTCTTATGCCTCTTCTTCTCCTTCTTGTTGTGAGTATTGCCAGTCTGCGTTTGGGGTCTTTTCTGCAGGTCCCCAGCGTCAGAGCCGAGAGTCCCTCCCAGGCGCAGGCGCTGCGGTGCTGCGGAGCCTCGCCTCCGAGGCCCGGGCGGTCCTCGGCCTCTGCTTCTCGGGAGTTTCGGTCCGAGCGGGCGGAGCGAGAGGGGAAGCTGGAGACTGGGGTATATGCAGGGTTTTAAGGGTTTGAAGAGCAGAAGTAAAGAAAGGCAGAAGAAGAGACAGAAGACAGCCGAAGAAACGAAGCGGGGGCTTTGCCGAGCCACGCCCATGCCGTTTCGTGTAGAGAGGAAGGAGCTCCGAGGCGCAATCGGAGCCCCCGGGAAGTTCCAGCACAGAAGCGAGAGAAAGCCACGGAAGAGGGCTCCCGTCCCAAAAAAAAGGTCAAGAAGCCCTTAAGCGAGAGAAATCAGTTGAAAGAGAGCTCCCCCCCCCTCCGGAAGTTTCCTCGCCAAGAATCCCTTACACCTATACTCCCATACCAAAGGCAGCAGCACACCAAACCCAAGTCCGAAGGACCCGAAGATGGCCGAAGGGCCCCGGAAACTCCGAAGCTTCCAGCGCTCGAAGAACTCGCAGGGGCTTTTTCCCTTTGCAGCTTCTCGGAAGTTCGTCCAAGAGTAGTTTGCATGTGCAAGCTTCTCCCTTCTCAGTTCTCCGGCCTCGCCTGCGAAACGCCTCTGCTTCTCCCCCCATTGCTCCACACTCGCCCTCCAATCCTGCTCCCATAGCTTCCTCCTCAGAGGGTAGCCTGTGCGAGTTGCAGTTCTTTGAGTGCACGGAATGCGTAGTGATGCTCCGCCCCGCCAGTGAAGACCAGCTTCTCCTTCAGATCTGAGCTTCGCTCACGTTGCGCATGTCGCAGCTGAGGGCCCTGCTTGCTGAGAGGCCTCCTCTCATGCTTCCCAACCGAGCCCTTACTCTTCCCCGCTTTGAAGACCCTTATGGCGCCGAAGAGATGCGCGAAGGCGACCTGGCAGCTGCCTCCAGAGACTTGTCGGGTCTCAGGGCTCAGGCCGCGTGCACGCCAGGAGTTTCGGTGGGGTGGGGGGAGGGACGGAGAGTCTTTTCGTCAGGGCTGCAGGTTGCGGCAGTTTCAGTTGCTGGCACCATAAGAGTGGTTTGGGTTTGGCTGCTGTGGGCCAGCTTTTGGGACTTGGGAGGCCGTACACATGGCACTCTTGGTTGGTGTGTTTTTCTAGCCGGGAGTGGAGTGAAAGCCTGAACTGAGTTGGGTGACACTGACTCAGAACGTCAAGGCATGTTTTGCTTGAAGAGTCACAACTTGCCCTCTTGGGGGGCGTTGCAGTCAGCTCCCCGTTGCGAGAGGCGCGCCACGTCGAAGACATGATGCAGGCAGGTTAGCCCTGACAGCGATTCCTCGTGCATCCTGAACTCTTCGAAGCCCAGCGACTACGTTTCGTCTACCAGCCCATTGCGCCTCGGCAGGCGAGTAGAAGCATCCTGGGCGACGTGTGCCTGAAGCAGCTGGACCATCTCACGGCACCCTCGGAGAAGGCGTGCTGCACCGGCAGCTGTGCTGCATCGCTGACTCTCCCCACTGCCCACGCAAACCCCACGTTGAAACGTTTCCACTGTGGCTTCGCGCTGCGCAGGCCAAGAGCGCCGCTCAGCTGCGGCAAGTCAGAGCACTTGTGGAGGCGCCGTGCACTGGAGCTTCCAAGCAGACGCAGCCGTGCTCCAACTGCCTGAACTGTGAAGGTGCAAGAGGACCTTCGGAAGACCATGCAGGAAAAAGAGCTGCGGTCCCGTCTGCAGGACGGAGCCAAAATTGAAACCTGTGCGAGTAGAGTAGATGCGAGACTTTTTGACATGTGAGACGCTGCAAAGAAGCCGTGCTGCTGCATGCATGCTGCGAATCCCGATTTCCGAATGTGTCCTCCCCCGAAACTGCGCCGGGAACCAGCGCCTTGAGCTGCGGGTGCTTAAAGCGGTAAAGCGGGTAGCCCTCACCGGGGAGGTAAAGTCCGCCTAATTTGGGGCCCTACACTGCTAAGGGTGCTTTATTATAGGAACCCCCATTAAGGGATCTACTTTTTGGATCCTCTTGAAAATCTGGGGAGCCGGGGTTCTTCCATCAGCCACTGGGGGGCCGGAGCCAGGAGCAGCAGAGTTTGCACCGAAAGGAGCTCGAGGACCGCGTCTCGACTGCCTCCTCAGACTTCGCGGGACGATGCTTCACTCCGTTTTCCCCATCATCTTTCTTGGGTCTCCTCGTGCGGAGCAGCAGTTTTTGTGAGCAAGGCCTCCATGCTCACGGCTTCGCAGGAGCAGAGAGCTTCCTCCCAGCAAGCTCTGGAGGCCGTCCGCGCCCATCCTTTCGGCAGTTCGTGGAGTTTCAGATTCAATGGGTGAGAACGGGGCGAGGGGATTCGCAATGTGTGGCTCATGTGGCTGTTGGCTTTACCTGTACCGAAACCAGGGCAGCTTCGGGGAAGTCTGTGCATTCTGTGCCTGCGGCAGCGTCTGCTTCGGAGGAGCAGAAGGAGTTCTTCGAGAAGGCTCTGAAGGACCGTTCCGACGATTCACTTCTTCGCCGCTTGCCGAGTTGAGTTGAGACTCTCCGATGCATGGGGATGCCCTCCGAATGGCAACCTGGAAGAAACCCTAAGATCTTGTCTTTCCTGTACATGCGACAACTTGGTCGTGGTATGCTACGAGTGATTGGGGTTTCCTCGAATTCAGCCTGGCATGCCCGGCAGGAGCAGAGAGAGGCTCTTCAGAAGACTCCTGCAGCTACCGAACAAGCTGACCTCGAGGCCTTGGAATCTGTCTCCCATCTCGTTTCGAACTGTCGTTGCAGAGCCTCTGTATAGACTTGACACTATCACTATAACTAGCCTCAGCTGCGGTGCACGTAGGCCTTGATGTGACGATGCGGGGCATAGCGACAGGATGTTGAAATAGATGGTCTGCGAGTGTGCACTGGGGCCATTGGGTAAGAGTCTCTCATCATGCGGCACTTTGAAGGAAGGCCCCCAATTTGAGGCCTTTTGAAGCAGAGCCTCCATCTTCACGAGGCGGTGCTGCCGGCGGCGGACGGCTCTCACAGCGCCTCCAAGGCATTCGCGGCCGAAGAGGCGTCCGGCACGACCCAGCATGTTTTCGCACAACACACTGCGTGACCCTGACGAGAGCCAGAACCCAGGTAGCGGTGCCGATCGACCAGGCCGGGCCGTTCCGCATTCTGTGTAATTCTGTGGCATGGGCTTTCCCAGCCCTTCCGAAGCAGGTGCCCAGAGGCCTTCGCTTGGATGATCTGCTGCGCCTGGTGGAGGAGCTTTTTCCTCGAAAGTGTGCTCATGCACCGTGCCGTACACTGTCTGCTGCAAGGAGAACAAAGAGTGGCTTCAAGGCCCCACGGCCCGGGAAAAGATGACGGGCCGAAAGAACATGTACGACGTCACTCCGGAGCTCATCATCGCACGATCCCCGGGCATCCGGAGAGTGCAGTTGCCGTCGCCACTGAACAGTTTCGACTCCGAGCCGAGGTAGCCACGACGTGCAGCTTGTTGTTCATTAGGGGGGAGGGTTTCCCTGAGTATCCTCTCTGGGCCACTGCTGCAAAGACCCTCCCTCTCTCTCTGTCTCTCTGTCTCTCTGTCTCTCTGTCTGCCTGTCTCGCTCTCTCTCTGCACTCGTGAGGTGAGGAACGCATCGTGGAGCTTGCGGAAGAGGATGCCGAGAAGATCGCGAAATCCCTCGCCGGTGGTGACGACGGAATCTTCGTGAAAGGCTCCCTTCAATGTCGGGAGGGAGCCAAACTCGGAGGTCTCCCCGTGGAAGCTCGGCTCGATCTTTTCATGCGACGGTTTCGTTGAAATTGTACATTTGCAGATCGAGGGATGTCTTCCTTTCGGTTGTCGGATGCCAATGCGAGTGTTGGAAGTCAGGAGAACCTGGTGATCCAGGGGGTCCTGTGCCGGTTGCTCAGGGTTCGCATCACATGTCGTATAGGAGGAGCTCCCACAGCAACGGATGCGAAAGTCGGCGAAACAGTTGTGTCGATCTGTGAGACTCGAGGTGAGGACGGTGCGCAGCGCAGGGAGTACTGGAAGCACGGTAGTGATGCTTGGCTGATGCACATGGGCAACTTGTTTTATTCTTTAGGTCTTTAGAGGTTCCGGGAACGGAAATAGAACAGCTTCTGTCAGGAGCGCACGGAGCGCTGGCGCACCACGGACAGGCACGGACGCCGGCCGTGTAAGGACCCTGGGTACATGGAGCTTCAGCAGTAAATGCAGTCAAAGCACTAACCGGTGGGTCTGGCAATGGCATCATTCATAATGCGGTACATGACGATCGTGTTGCCCATTGGCAGGATGCGATCCCTGCGAGGCTGCTCGGGAAGCAGCTAGGCGAAGCAAATGCTCGCCGCAAGAAGGAGCTACTCAAGCAGCCGGGCACGGTCGTCGTCCTGCGCACTGGCGCACCTTGATCGCATCCGGTCACGTATAGCTCTGCGATGTTCGCGGCGCCCAGCGGGATCGGAGGCAGTATAGCGGCTTGAGCCAGGTGGCTTACGTCGGCGTGGTCAAGCAGGGAGAATTTGCACCTCTTTGTGCGTTCGTCTCGCATTTTTGGGGTGAGGACTGCAGAATAAGCCCCAAACACTACCTTAACCCCAAGTAATCTAGCTTTAAACACAATCGGGAACCCGAAACAGCTAGAATTATTCGGGGGTACAAGTTGTAGGCCCCAAGCCCTGCAGCGGGAAGACGATCAGAGAGAGCTTTCGAGTCGGCTCTGGCTCTCCGCAGGAGACGCTTTGCTTTGCCAAGTCCTTACGACTCCACGCTGAGAAGGTGCACCCCGGAAACCCAGGACAGGGTCTCAAGTCGCCAGAAGGGCATCTTACAGCAGGTAGGACATCCCCGAATCCTCGAGTGATCGCCTTTGCGTTTCTGCAACTTTGAACGGATTTTTTTCCTCTTAGTGTCAGCGGGAGGAGCCATGTGCTACTACATCTGCTCGTTGCTTGGCAGAGTGGGGCTCGTCCGTTTGATTCGGAGCATCGAAGCGGGCAGCTTCCAGGAGCCATCTCAATCAATGCGGGCGGAGATAAGGGGAGACGTCTAGGCGACAGCTCAGGTTCTCGAATTGCCAGCACCTCGTGGCCGGCTCCCTATTGTACACAGTCTTGCGGTCTGCAGTCTGCAGCGTCTCCCCGACCGCCTCTGCAGGATCTTGGAACTGACTGGCAATCGTCACCCTTCAATCGGGCCCTGGAGCATGTAGCCGCATGCTCCGACCTGAGTTGCTGGCATCTGCGAGCTTAAGCTTGGAGTGGGGCGAGATCCCGTCGTTTTCTTTTATCTCGAATCGTGAGGCCGCCGCATGAAGCAGGACTCCGTGTATTGCGCGGTGATGCTGCACCGGTCTCGGCGAAGCGCGTTCTCTGCGAGGGTCGGTTTCGGACTTCAAAGCCGAGGTTCGACGAGAGGTGCAGCACGCTGGAGTGGCACGGCGGAGTTGAGCCGTTTTGCAAGTTGGACATGCACCTTTTCACACTTGAGGCGCATTTGGTGTATCTTCGAGATCTGGCGCTGCTGCAAGTTGGAGCTTCGGCTAGATCTGCGCCTCGGTCTCACATCGGCTTCATGAAGGGTTTTGACATGCCATGTTGCGACTGTAGAACGACATGTATCACCACACATCGACTAGGGCCTATGAAATGTGCAAGGTGCCGTGCTGCAATGTCTCGTCTCGGCCACCGTCTATCTGCATGTAGTCTTTGGCGCTGCAGGTTCTCCGTGGAGGGCCAGCTGACGCGCATATCCAGCACCCCCCTCGCTTGCAAGATCCGCAAGCAAGCGAAGGGCCTGGACATGTCGAACACCAAATGCTCCGAGAAGCGCGATGCTCGGCTGATCAACGTCGGCAAACGTTGCAACATGGGCAAGCCAGGGTGTGTGGTTCACCCCGTCCGCCCCACATGAAACAACTAGGACGTGTCATTACTTCTGCGTTTCAGGACCAACGGATGATCGAACAAGCGATCAAAACCAGCGGCACTACCTGGGCCCAGATCGCTGGCATGATCCAGCTTCAGGCAGAGCGCCCTCGTGTTGCAGTGTAGCGTGGAAGAGAGACTGGTGCCCCGGCCCCTCCCCTGAACCCCCGGCAAGATCAGTAGCCTCGTGGAGTTCTCCGCCAGCCTGGCCATCTCACGCAACGCCCTCACAGGCGCGGCATACCTTACGGACTTGAGCGGCGTTCTGCACCTGCACATTTCCGCAGGCGAAGAGGTGACAGCGGAAGACGTTGAGATGCGGATGCCCGAAACCTCGCAGGCCCAAGCTCCTGTGGCACTCGAATGTGCAATGCGCGAACCAGGAAATCGTCTCGCAGTGGATGGAGAATCAGCTAGGCTCAGCTGAGGTCCGAGATTCATCCAGCATCATCAACGACTGCATAAAGGCCCGAAAGACGTGGGATCGCGGTGTTGGCCCCTGGCTGCACTGCTGCAGGGCCAGCTTCAGCGCATCCTCGTCGTTGGACAAGGAGGCAGCTCAGAGCCGCTCTCACATCGGGTGGGCCGTTTGGCCTGCGCAGTGCCCGACAGAGGTACTGGAAAGTCGGTCTTCGCGCGTGAGGTCGTGAGGAGAGCCGCGCAGGCGCAGCCTGCCTTCTGGGTCTGATGTCGCATTCCGTGCATTCCCTCGCCACCGTGGTTGATGTCATTCGTTCCATGCGGCGGCCTTTCTAACAGGCGCTGGAGGAGGGCGTGGGCCTCATGTTTGGGCTGCGAAGTTGCAGGACCTGCTCAGATCTGAGGTGGCGGGGTCCAGGAAACAGTGATCCCGCTGCGGGTGCCCTTGGCAGAGCTGGCAGACATCAAGGACCCGCCCGGCTTGAGCAAGGTATGTTATGTACACGCGTATACGTATGTATATATATATATATATATATGTATATATGTATATATATATATACACATATATATATATATATATGTATTTGAATATATATATATATACGTATATGTATATATATATATATATATACACACTATATAGACATGTACATACATACGTACGTACATACATACATACATACATACATATATAGGTATTTGTAAAATATATGAATAACATACACGCATACATATCGCATGTATGTATGTACGGTTATGTATGATTATGTATGAATATGTGTGACGACCTACGAGTGTGCATCATTATGTGACACTATGTAAGTTTAGGCATGATTATCTATGTACGTAGCATGCATTATTCTATGAATGGATGAATGTATGAATGAATGAATGAATGAATGCCCGCACGTCTGTATGTTTGCATGCCTGTATATCTATATCTGCAAGTCGGTATGTCTGCATGCTATCCATGTACTTATCTATCTACCTGGCTATCTGTCTACCTATCAATCAATCAATCAATCTATCGATCCATCGATCTGTCAATCTATCGATACGTCGATCTGTCGGTCTGTCGATCTATCTGTGTGTTTATCTCTGTATGTCTGTCTCTATCTCCATCTCCGCCTCCACCACCTCCAGCTGCACCTCCATCTTCATCTCCATTGCTGTCGATCTCCGTCTTTAGCTCTAGCTCAGGTCTAGCTCAAGCTCTAGCTCTGTCTCTATCTCTACCTCTGTATCTCTCTCTCTATCTCTCTATCTCTCTGTACCTCTCCATCTCTGTCTCTCCATCTTCATCTCTATCTCTATCTCTAACGTGCCTTGACGTATTGTCAGAATTGCCGCAGCGTGTAAGTCGCGAAGAACACGAGCCAGACATGATGTTTCAATTCCGCCTCCGCACATGTTGCACGTGTGTCGCGGGTGACGCCACTGCACAGAGTAGATGCTGTTTACCAGCAGGAAGGAGTCGATCTGCCACTCCTCTGCACTTCAGCTCCCACCGGCTTTCCCTCTTGCAGAATTTGCCATTCGATGCGCAAGGCTCGCAACTGCAACCGAAAGGGTTCCTGTGCAGACGCTGAGGTTTAAGGCCTGGGCACAGCGAGCCTTCGGCAGCGACAGCGACGAGATTTTGAGAGGCGCAGTGCCAGGCGACTTGACGTGGCCCCAGTATGCTCGGTGTCAGGCGATCGGCGGCTCGTCTTGGTCCTGGACGGCCTGGACGAAGCCGCCACGGCCCGCCGACGGGTCCTCAAGTGGCTCCAGAAGTGGCTGCAGCACTTCGGCCAGCAATTGGACAATGAACTCTTAGAGCAAACAAGCTGCTTGTTGTGAATGCTCCGGCCCAGGGCAAACGGCCACCGATGCGTTTGCATCATCGTCGCCTCTCGGCCGTCCGGGACCAACCAGCCCGGATCCCAGCACGCCTTTGGGAGGCCTGAGGATTCGGAACTTCCATCAGCGTTTTGGTCTGTGCAAGCGGCCCGCTCACGCTGCCCCCGATTCATCTCGATCCTGGGCTGAGGGTGCTGGGCAGCGACGGCAGCGCTCGCGAGCCGGCGGGGTCGGCCGTGCTTGGCCAGCTCTCCGAGACGTCGCTGCTGACCCAGGCAGCCCGGTAATCTGCGACCGACTGCAGCTTACAGCGGAAAAGCGGCATCACATCCATTAGCCGCATCAGCTGCTATTTGTGCATCATTTCCGCTGTGGGTCTCCACACTCGTAGCTCCTTGCGGCTGCAGACGGACGCACTCGCATTTTCGCATCTGAGCCGAGCCGTCGCAGGAGCCGCTGCCGGTCTCCTGCCACGTTCGGCTGCATGACGGCGCTGGGCAGAGCCTGGGAGCTGCCACCGTCCTCTCCTGCGAGGAGGCGCCGCCGGCACAGCGGAAAAAGCTCTTTCTCGAGAGTCGCCGGCACAGAGCTCTCCGGCCACTGGCCAGGGCTTCCTTTTGAAAAAGAAGAAGGACGAGGTTGGCCTGAAGCCCGGGGTGCCCCCTCTGAAGGTGCGCCGCAAGGCCCGCGTGTGCACTCCTGTCCTCAGCCGTAGCTTGGGAAACCGTCACGTGAGAGTGGCTGCTGACAGGATCCGAAGCAGGTCTTCTCCGCCACGGTTTGCCTCGACTACGCCGACCGCTCCAGCGCCAGGGCTCTCCTGGAGCGGGCCTTCCGGGAGGCAGGTGGAGATCCGAAGGAGGAGAGTCATTTCGTGGTGGCGCGCCGGGCCGACGGCGAAGTCTGGAAGGACCCGTGCTCCCTTCGGAGCTTCGGAGCTTCCACCGTTTGCGTGCAACTGCCAGGACGACAGCCCCATTAGCTACGGCCAGATGCTCTCCTGGCCCAAAGGCGCCTTTCCCTGCCGCGCCTTCCTCAAGACAAAGAATCTCAAGACCAAAGTCAACACGGCCGACGGTGAAGTCGAAGACGTGCAAGTGCGCAGACCTCAGATCGAGAGCTCAGCCAGCAGCCGATTCGCCCAAGCACCTGCGCAAAGCATACAACGACGACCAGGAGCCTCTGCGAGACATCATCTGGCATCTTCCTCTCGGCTGACCTGGAGCCAGGCCACCGCTTTCTCTCGTTTCTGGGCTCGTCTTGCTGCAAGCCTCCGTGCTCAGGCGATGAGGTCGAGCTCAGCAGCGGCTTGCAAGAACTCCTGCCTCTCGACCGCCTCTTGGCGAAACTTGGGCCGTGCTGCCGTCGCATGCATGTGTGCGCAGACGTTGCAGATGCTCAGGTTGCTTCCGCGTGGTCCTGGATACGCCCGTCCCGAGCTGCCCGGCGATGCTAAACGAGATGACGGCGCAGGATGAGCTGTCCCTGCAGCCCTGGCCTTGGCTGTCGCTGCGCGATCTTCGGAGAGCGTCGGGAACTCCGGCAGGCTCGGCTTCGCCCCGTTCGAGATCCTGCCGCTCAGTCCTCCTGTGGCCTCGAGGCCCCGAGAGCTACTTTTCTCTGCGGGTGGCAGAAGCACCTGGCTTCCGCAGGATCTCGAAGTTCGGTGAGGAAGAGCTGAGAGCGCTCCCCGAAGCGGCCCCTCGACTCGGGACGACATGAAGTAAGTTCGGTGTCAGTGATGTGATCTGTCACCTGAACGCAGCGGGGCCGTTAGGCATCGCATCATCGCCGTCCTATTTCTTGCATGCCACCAGAGTCACCAGAGTGGCCTTTCCCAGAGCAGGTTTGGCGGACGCCGCTCATGGCCAGCATCCTGGGCCCCGTCCTTATTTTACTTGAGCGGGGGGCAAGGGGGGAGGTTTCTGCACGATAAATTGAGAGTAACTATCCATGCTATCAGAAGACTGTGAAACTGACACGGCACAGGCACATATCCTCGGGGGCAGAAGGACCGGAGCACCAAATGCTTCTGCTCCCTGGCTTCTGATTCCCTTTTTGGACGGCCCAGCCTCTCCCCCCGCCCTCTCTCGAGACTCTCGAGATTGTAGACAGAGAGGAGGAAGAGCTCGACGGCGCCACGGCAGAGCTGGTGCTGATGGAGCATGCTGTGGAAACGCTGCTGAAGCAGGTGCGAGCCAGAAGCGGTATAGAATCGTGTGAGTTTGTCGCAGCCAAACGCTACAAGTCTGATAAGTCTGCCAGTGTATCGGCAGAGCCAGGCAGAGGAGCGGACCGGCTGCAAGGAGCTGCGAGCAGAGCTGGGCCCGCTGTGCTTGGCCAAGCTCCAGGCAACTTCGCCGGGCACCGCAGAGAACTTCTGGAATGCGCTTGCGCTCTCACTGCAGGTGGGCCAGCGGCTGCTGTTGGAGTCGGACTTCACCAGCCAGGCAGGAGCTGCACGAGCACCGATGGGTGACTGTGCATGAGGTCTTGGAGGGCCTGCATCCAGTCCCAAGTAGGAGGAGCGAGAACGAAGTCCCCTCTTGATGTCCATAGAGGCTCATACAGTGACTTGTCATGTGGCTGCAACGACACTTCAACATCAGCACAAAGATGCATGTGAGTCGCTCCTTTGGCCATCTGGGGATCTGGGGCATGCTCAGCTCACCACTCCAACCCATCAGGCATGCACAGCTGACATAAGGGTTATCCGTTTCTGCATCCAGGTAGTCTTCCAGGAAGCGCAGCTCGGGCACTTGAGATTCTTCGAGCCGTCTGGCCAAGCGGTGACGCAAGCCGCGCTTGCAGACTCATCGGCTCGAAAGCTCGCAGTGGTCCGCACCCATTGCCAGGTGCAGCTGTACCACCTGCGAATGCAGGAGTATCTGGCCGCAGAGGTGCCGCACGGAGATGGTGCCCGTGAGCGCTATTGACCGCCATTGCTGTTGCCATTCTTGGTAGACCCCGTGATTGTGCGAGTATAATTACGCTGAGTCTTGGCTGACAGGCCCGGTTGGCGGGTGCCCAGGCGCCGGCCTGGAAGCAAGCCTTCGCCGAAGCGCAGCAGCAGCCGATGTTGAGAGGCCTGCGCATGAACAGTTGCCAGCAAGTTCGCAGATTCTACATGTCTTCACAAAGAGCAATGCACGCATACAGTCATACAAGAAGACCATGGCTTCAGCTCCGATCTCCCACAGGTGCCCTCCGCTTCTGTCTGATGATGCAGACGGCCCATGCGGCGGAGGCGGAAATCGACCTATCTAGCCTATCATCTTCAAAGCTGGGCGCCGCGGACGCGGAGGCTTTCCAAGGACTCCTTGTGCATGCGAGACGGGCGAGCTGGCCGTGCCGTGGTTGCCGCCAAGTAGGAGCTCTGCTTTGCAGCGAGAAGCTGGTCCTCGACTTGGATGGGAACCATCTGGGCAGGGGACCCGGGGCTGCTCGGGTTCAGATTTGTTCGACAAGGGCGTTCCAAACGCCATCGGTGGCGTCTGTGGGCCAGGCATGTCATAATATGTGCGGTGAGCTTGAGGAGGCTCAGTAAAGCCCAACCAGCCAGCACGAACCGCCAGCACGTGGAAGGATTCCGTTTCAACAGGGTGTGACAGCTACTGGCCGTTAGCATCAATTCATTGAAGGATTTCTGGGGGCTTCTGCTGCAGTGTGAGGCCCGGAAGGCGGCAGCAGCCTGGCCTCGGCGCTGCCCAAACGGCTGCGACGGCTGGAGCTGAAGCTGGCTGGAAACAGAATCGGCCGGGGATCCCGGCGGGATTCCTTGCTCAGATGGACAAGAAGGATGCTCCTGATGTGCGAGAGCTTAAGAGAAGGCAGCGCTGCTGTTGCATTTGCACTTCTGCGCAGTGCTCTTTGGCCAAAGGCCTCGGCGTCTCTTGCAGTCCAATGACCTATAATAGACATTGAGAAACGTTTTGATGGCGTCCATACAAGTCTTTATGCGATCTCGATGGTGACAGCACGGTGCCACATCCGTGGGTCCACGTTGTGTAAGCCATGTCTCGCCCGGTTGTCGATCCTGGGTTGAGGGTGTGATGCATGCATGCAGAACAGTTACGCTACCTGAGACCTAAGTCAGCAGTGCCAAGTCCGTCCGACAATGCAGAAGAAGACCGACGAGCCACCTCAGCAAGCTTTTGCGCAGTAACAGTCGGCAGACATGACATCGCCGCCAAATCCAAACCAGGCGAGGGCCAAGATGAAACAGGACCCAAGACTTGAGCATCGTGGAGCCTCTGTGTAATCGAGTTTACTGAGCGGGCAAAAGATGTGGGCACTCTGTGAAAAGCTCGGTGCCGAGCGGTTTTCGCCCGAGGTGTCGAGGGCACCCGCGCCCTGGCCGCCAGCTTGGCCGAGCTCCCGCTCCAAGAGCTGCGGCTGAGCCTGATGATGAACGGGATCGGCCCGGGGCCCCAGGGAGGAAAGGCCTCTGTGGCCCGGGGCTCGGAGCTCCGAGGGGAGGCTCGCAGCGGATCTCTGCTTCTAAGGTTTGCCCAAGAAGAAACCCTTTTGAGTTCTGCATCCAACTTCACGCGCATGGCAGATTCCAGCATGCCTCCGAGGCGATGACGGGGCCCAAGCCTTGGCAGCTGCCATGGCCAAGCTGCCCCAGCTCCAGAAGCTGGATCTGAGCGTCAACTCGCTGGGCTCGGGGGCCCAGGTGTTTGTGGCCTTTGGGTCTCCGGGGCTCCAGGTTGACCTCGCAGCCCTGTGAAGACACGTCCATGGCGAGTCTATGACCTTTCCTGACTGAGTCGAGCACCGTTTCGTCGTCAAAAGCCCAAACTCCTTGAAATCTCCTTCTTTTGGAGGGTCAGGCGAAGCTGCTGCATGGATTTCCGTTTCTTGCTGTTCCAATCTGCGAACTGCTTCCGCGGATTCCACGGAGAGAGAAGCGGGGTGAGAGATGCAGACACGGAGTTATTGGTTTCCATGCGCAGCCAAGCCCTTACTGTATGCTGCGAGCTGCCTCCTTCCCACACCACTTGCGACAGAGCGTTCAGCAAGCTTGCAACTCGGGAAGATGCTGATCCCGCCCCCAGTCATGCCGTTGCTGCTTGTAGATGGTGCGCCCTGGGAGGTCCCAAGACAAAGCTCATGCCCACAACCCAAGGCCACAATGAAGGATAGAGCGGCGGCTGAGTTGGGAGGCAAGCGCAAAGGCGTCGACCTTGCAAAACTCCGGCATGAATTCGTAGACCACGCGTTTCCTGCCTCCTGGTTCGAGACCTCATCTGGTGCCTTCTGGATCTCAGCTTCTCTTCAGCCCTTCTTTTGGCAGAATTTGCTTGGAATCGGCCCGGGGCCCCAGGGAGAAGAGGCCCATATGGCCCGGGGCTCGGAGCTCCGAGGGGAGGCTCGCAGCGGATCTCTGCTTCTAAGGTTTGCCCATGAAGAAACCCTTTTGAGTTCTGCATCCAACTTCACGCGCATGGCAGATTCCAGCATGCCTCCGAGGCGCCGAAGGGGCCCAAGCCTTGGCAGCTGCCATGGCCAAGCTGCCCCAGCTCCAGAAGCTGGCGCTGGATCTGCGCGTCAACTCGCTGGGCCCGGGGGCCCAGGTGTCTGCGGCCGTTAGGTCTCCGGGGCTCCAGGTTGAAAAGTTGACCTCGCGGCCTTGTGAAGACACGTCCATGGCGAGTCTATGACCTTTCCTGACTGAGTCGAGCACCGTTTCGTCGTCAAAAGCCCAAACTCCTTGAAATCTCCTTCTTTTGGAGGGTCAGGCGAAGCTGCTGCATGGATTTCCGTTTCTTGCTGTTCCAATCTGCGAACTGCTTCCGCGGATTCCACCGAGAGAGAGCCTGAGTGAGAGATGCAGACACGGAGTTATTGGTTTCCATGCGCAGCCAAGCCCTTACTGTATGCTGCAAGCTGCCTCCTTCCCACACCACTTGCGACAGAGCGTTCAGCAAGCCTTCAACTCGGGGAGATGCTGATCCCACGCCCAGTCATGGCGTTGCTGCTTGTAGATGGTGCGCCCTGGGAGGTCCCAAAACAAAGCTCATGCCCACAACCCAAAGCCACAATGAAGGATAGAGCGGCGGCTGAGTTGGGAGGCAAGCACAAAGGTGTCGACCCTGCAAAACTCCGGCATGAATTCGTAGACCGCGCGTTTCCTGCCTCCTGGTTCGAGACCTCATTTGGTGCCTTCTGGATCTCAGCTTCTCTTCAGCCCTTCTTTTGGCAGAATTTGCTTGGAGTCGTGGCGTACTGGAGCCTGTGGAATGGGCAAAAGATATGGGCACTCTGCGAAAAGCTCGGTGCAGAGCGGTTTCCCCCGAGGTGACGAGGGCACCCGCGCCCTGGCCGCCAGCTTGGCCGAGCTCCCGCTCCAAGAGCTGCGGCTGGACTTGAACCGGAACGAGATCGGCCCGGGGCCCCAGGGAGAAGAGGCCCATATGGCCCGGGGCTCGGAGCTCCGAGGGGAGGCTCGCAGCGGATCTCTGCTTCTAAGGTTTGCCCATGAAGAAACCCTTTTGAGTTCTGCATCCAACTTCATGCGCATGACAGATTCCAGCATGCCTCCGAGGCGCCGACGGGGCCCAAGCCTTGGCAGCTGCCATGGCCAAGCTGCCCCAGCTCCAGAAGCTGGAGCTGAGGCTGTGGAACAACTCGCTGGGCCCGGGGGCCCAGGTGTTTGTGGACGTTATGTCTCCGGGGCTCCAGCTTAACCTCGCAGCCTTGTGAAGACACGTCCATGGCGAGTCTATGACCTTTCCTGACTGAGTCGAGCACCGTTTCGTCGTCAAAAGCCCAAACTCCTTGAAATCTCCTTCTTTTGGAGGGTCAGGCGAAGCTGCTGCATGGATTTCCGTTTCTTGCTGTTCCAATCTGCGAACTGCTTCCGCGGATTCCACCGAGAGAGAGCCTGAGTGAGAGATGCAGACACGGAGTTATTGGTTTCCATGCGCAGCCAAGCCCTTACTGTATGCTGCAAGCTGCCTCCTTCCCACACCACTTGCGACAGAGCGTTCAGCAAGCCTTCAACTCGGGGAGATGCTGATCCCACGCCCAGTCATGGCGTTGCTGCTTGTAGATGGTGCGCCCTGGGAGGTCCCAAAACACAGCTCATGCCCACAACCCAAAGCCACAATGAAGGATAGAGCGGCGGCTGAGTTGGGAGGCAAGCACAAAGGTGTCGACCCTGCAAAACTCCGGCATGAATTCGTAGACCGCGCGTTTCCTGCCTCCTGGTTCGAGACCTCATTTGGTGCCTTCTGGATCTCAGCTTCTCTTCAGCCCTTCTTTTGGCAGAATTTGCTTGGAGTCACGGCGTAATGGAGCCTCCGGAACGGGCAGATTATGGGCACTCTGCGAAAAGCTCGGTGCAGAGCGGTTTCGCCCGAGGCGTGGAGGGCACCCGCGCCCTGGCCGCCAGCTTGGCCGAGCTCCCGCTCCAAGAGCTGCGGCTGGACTTGTACTGGAACGAGATCGGCCCGGGGCCCCAGGGAGGAAAGGCCCATATGGCCCGGGGCTCGGAGCTCCTTGGGGAGGCTCGGAGCGGATCTCTGCTTCTAAGGTTTGCCCATGAAGAAACCCTTTTGAGTTCTGCATCCAACTTCATGCGCATGACAGATTCCAGCATGCCTTTCGAGGCGCCGACGGGGCCCAAGCCTTGGCAGCTGCCATGGCCAAGCTGCCCCAGCTCCCGAAGCTGGCGCTGGATCTGAGCGACAACTCGCTGGGCTCGGGGGCCCAGGTGTTTGTGGCCTTTGGGTCTCCGGGGCTCCAGCTTAACCTTGCAGCCTTGTGAAGACACGTCCATGGCGAGTCTATGACCTTTCCTGACTGAGTCGAGCACCGTTTCGTCGTCAAAAGCCCAAACTCCTTGAAATCTCCTTCTTTTGGAGGGTCAGGCGAAGCTGCTGCATGGATTTCCGTTTCTTGCTGTTCCAATCTGCGAACTGCTTCCGCGGATTCCACCGAGAGAGAGCCTGAGTGAGAGATGCAGACACGGAGTTATTGGTTTCCATGCGCAGCCAAGCCCTTACTGTATGCTGCAAGCTGCCTCCTTCCCACACCACTTGCGACAGAGCGTTCAGCAAGCCTTCAACTCGGGGAGATGCTGATCCCACGCCCAGTCATGGCGTTGCTGCTTGTAGATGGTGCGCCCTGGGAGGTCCCAAAACACAGCTCATGCCCACAACCCAAAGCCACAATGAAGGATAGAGCGGCGGCTGAGTTGGGAGGCAAGCACAAAGGTGTCGACCCTGCAAAACTCCGGCATGAATTCGTAGACCGCGCGTTTCCTGCCTCCTGGTTCGAGACCTCATTTGGTGGCTTCTGGATCTCAGCTTCTCTTCAGCCCTTCTTTTGGCAGAATTTGCTTGGAGTCACGGCGTAATGGAGCCTCCGGAACGGGCAGATTATGGGCACTCTGCGAAAAGTTCGGTGCAGAGCGGTTTCGCCCGAGGCGTGGAGGGCACCCGCGCCCTGGCCGCCAGCTTGGCCGAGCTCCCGCTCCAAGAGCTGCGGCTGGAGCTGCGGCAGAACGAGATCGGCCCGGGGCCCCAAGGGAGGAAAAGCCCATATGCCCGGGGCTCGGAGCTCCGAGGGGAGGCTCGCAGCGGATCTCTGCTTCTAAGGTTTGCCCATGAAGAAACCCTTTTGAGTTCTGCATCCAACTTCACGCGCATGGCAGATTCCAGCATGCCTCCGAGGCGCCGAAGGGGCCCAAGCCTTGGCAGCTGCCATGGCCAAGCTGCCCCAGCTCCAGAAGCTGGCGCTGGATCTGAGCGTCAACTCGCTGGGCTCGGGGGCCCAGGTGTCTGCGGCCGTTAGGTCTCCGGGGCTCCAGCTTAACCTCGCAGCCTTGTGGAGACACGTCCATGGCGAGTCTATGACCTTTCCTGACTGAGTCGAGCACCGTTTCGTCGTCAAAAGCCCAAGCTCATTGAAATCTCGTTCCCTGGAGGGTCGGGCGAAGCTGCACGGATTTCCGTTTCTTGCTGTTCAGGGCTGCAGTAACGATCAGACATTTCAACTTCTTCCATGCGCCGGAGTGAGAGATGCGGACACGCAGACATTGGTTTCCACGCGGCGCCAAGCCCTTATGCTGCAAGCTGCAACTTCCCGCACCACTTGCGACAGAGTGTTCAGCAAGTCTGCAACTCGGGCAGATGCTGATCCCACGCTCAGTAAGGCCGTGGCCGCTTGTACATCGTGCGCCCTGGGAAGTCCCAAAACAAAGTTCATGCCCACAACCCAAAGCCACAATGAAGGATAGAGCAGCGGCTGAGTTGGGAGGCAAGCACAAGGTGCCGACCCTGCAAAACTCCGGCATGAATTCGTAGACCGCGCGTTTCCTGCCTGCAGCACAGCTCCGATCCAAAAGAACCTCATCTGGTGCCTTCTGGATCTCAGCTTTCCTGAAGTGTTTTTCCCGCAGACTTTGCTTGGAGCCTCTGTGTAAACGAGTCTTTGAAACGGGCAAAAGATGTGGACACTCTGTGAAAAGCTCGGCGTGCAGAGCGGTTTCGCCCGAGGCGTGGAGGGCGCCCGCGCCCTGGCCGCCAGCTTGGCCGAGCTCCCGCTCCAAGAGCTGCAGCTGGGCTTGAACCGGAACGAGATCGGCCCGGGGCCCCAAGGGAGGAAAGGCCGATGGCGCGGGGCTCGGAGCTCCGAGGGGAGGCTCGCAGCGGATCTCTGCTTCTAAGGTTTGCCCATGAAGGAACCCTTTTGAGTTCTGCATCCAACTTCATGCGCACGACAGATTCCAGCATGCCTTTCGAGGCGCCGAAGGGGCCCAAGCCTTGGCAGCTGCCATCGCCAAGCTGCCCCAGCTCCAGAAGCTGGCGCTGTTTCTGAGCAACAACTCGCTGGGCTCGGGGGCCCAGGTGTCTGCGGCCGTTAGGTCTCCGGGGCTCCAGCTTAACCTCGCAGCCTTGTGGAGACACGTCCATGGCGAGTCTATGACCTTTCCTGACTGAGTCGAGCACCGTTTCGTCGTCAAAAGCCCAAGCTCATTGAAATCTCGTTCCCTGGAGGGTCGGGCGAAGCTGCACGGATTTCCGTTTCTTGCTGTTCAGGGCTGCAGTAACGATCAGACATTTCAACTTCTTCCATGCGCCGGAGTGAGAGATGCGGACACGCAGACATTGGTTTCCACGCGGCGCCAAGCCTTTATGCTGCAAGCTGCCTCTTCCCACACCACTTGCGACAGAGTGTTCAGCAAGCCTGCAACTCGGGCAGATGTTGATCCCACGCCCAGTAAGGCCGTGGCCGCTTGTAGATCGTGCGCCCTGGGAAGTCCCAAAACAAAGTTCATGCCCACAGCCCAAAGCCACAATGAAGGATAGAGCAGCGGCTGAGTTGGGAGGCAAGCACAAGGTGCCGACCCTGCAAAACTCCGGCATGAATTCGTAGACCGCGCGTTTCCTGCCTGCAGCACAGCTCCGATCCAAAAGAACCTCATCTGGTGCCTTCTGGATCTCAGCTTTCCTGAAGTGTTTTTCCCGCAGACTTTGCTTGGAGCCTCTGCGTAAACGAGTCTTTGAAACGGGCAAAAGATGTGGACACTCTGTGAAAAGCTCGGCGTGCAGAGCGGTTTCCCCCGAGGTGACGAGGGCACCCGCGCCCTGGCCACCAGCTTGGCCGAGCTCCCGCTCCAAGAGCTGCGGCTGGACTTGGAGCGGAACGAGATCGGCCGGGGGCCCCAGGGAGGAAAGGCCTCTGTGGCCCGAGGCTCGGAGCTCCGAGGGGAGGCTCGCAGCGGATCTCTGCTTCTAAGGTTTGCCCAAGAAGAAACCCTTTTGAGTTCTGCATCCAACTTCATGCGCATGACAGATTCCAGCAGGGTCAGGCGAAGCTTTTCGTATTTTCGTTTCTTGCTGTTCAGGGCTGCAGTAACGATCAGACATTTCAACTTCTTCCACGGAGAGTGCCGGAGTGAGAGATGCAGACGCGGAGTTATTGGTTTCCATGCGCAGCCAAGCCCTTATGCTGCAAGCTGCCTCTTGCCACACTACTTGCGACAGCACCTTCAGCAAGCCTGGGGAGATGCTGATCCCACGCCCAGTAAGGCCGTTGCCGCTTGTAGATGGTGCGCCCTGGGAGGTCCCAACACAAAGTTCCTGCCCTCAACCCAAAGCCACAATATGCCACAATAAAGGATAGAGCGGCGGCTGAGTTGGGAGGCAAGCACAAGGCGTCGAGTTCGTAGACCACACGTTTCCTGTCCGAAGCACAGCTCCGATCCAACAGAAACGGCCTGGTTTGAGACCTCTTCTGGTGCCTTCTGGATTCTGCTTCCCTGAAGTCTTGCGTACTGGAGCCTCTGGAACGGGCAAAAGATGTGGGCACTCTGCGAAAAGCTCGGCGTGCAGAGCGGTTTCCGCCCGAGGTGACGAGGGCACCCGCGCCCTGTCCGCCAGCTTGGCCGAGCTCCCGCTCCAAGAGCTGCGGCTGGAGCTGCGGTATAACAAGATCGGCCCGGGGCCCCAGGGAGGGACAGGCCCATATGGCGCGGGGCTCGGAGCTCCGAGGGGAGGCTCGCAGCGGATCTCTGCTTCTAAGGTTTGCCCATGAAGGAACCCTTGAGTTCTGCATCCAACTTCATGCGCACGACAGATTCCAGCATGCCTTTCGAGGCGCCGAAGGGGCCCAAGCCTTGGCAGCTGCCATTGCCAAGCTGCCCCAGCTCCAGAAGCTGGAGCTGTTTCTGAGCAACAAGTCGCTGGGCTCGGGGGCCCAAAGTTGCAGCAAAAAACGTGGTTCAAATCCTTCCTCGCGAAACCCCGAAACACTCCTGTCGGCGCCCCGAGCCGGCCCAGGCGAAGAAGTGAGGGATCAGCTCAGGGGCCAACTGAAGGCGCTGCCCATCCCGGAGAAGGGCATCGACATCTAAAGGAGGCCGAGGCTTTGGAGGCCCCAGGTCTGAGGAGGCCAGGCCCCCGTGGGCTCTTCGTCGAGTTGGCGCCGGGAGCTCGCCTTGCGAGGGCTCGCGGGCTCCAAGCCTTCCGTCCTGCTCGGGCTCGTCCCGGCTGTTGCGGCGAGATCGGAAGGATGCGCAGAGGTAGAGGAGGAAGTCGGAGGGAGTATGGGAGGTTTCGGATTCCTGGTTGAGTTTAGGGTGGGCTTGAGGCTCCAGGTCCAAAATACAAAGAAGCTCCTTTCGAAGTCGCCTGGGACAGCCGGGAGCTCCCGGGTTTGGCATCGGAATGAAGCAGCCAGTCTGGGCTGCGGCAGCATCAACGCTGTCAGTCCCTTGCTTGCTCGTGCTCGCCTTGAAGGGCGGCGCTCGAGGACACTGCTCAATGATACATGCTCTTGGAAGAAATTGCGCTGTGGTGGGTTTTGCGCTCCTTCAGGGACAGGGTTTTCCCACCCGGTCTTGTCACGCAGCTCGAAGCTCGACGCCAGAAAAAGAGTGCATCCTACCGGAGTCGATGGCTGCCAGGGTCGAGTCGTGCTCCGACCCGAGCTCTCAAGGCCCTACAGCCCCAAGAGGATTCCCAGCTAAGAGCTGACTTCAAGATGGAACTGAACTCATCTTGCGGAACCTGTGATGAAGACCAGGTTGGGAGATATATGAAGGCTTTCTCCACAAAACCGAAACGCGCCTCCTGTCCAGCCGTGAGCACACAGTATCATACAATAAGTACCAGTATATTTGGTACAGATCGGGATCTCGTTTCACGATCAACAACAACGAGCATCAGCATGATAAACCCAAAGTATCAACAGCAGGTACTGAAGAGGCGAGTCGAATTTTCGATGCCCCACCCTGCTCACCCGAAGGGACTGTCAGTCTCCGTTGTGCTGCATTGTGTTGTGCAAAGCGACTGAAACTCCAGCTTTGTCTGCGGCACTCTTTCGATGCTTGAGGTGTTGAGTCTCGCTTTTCAGGGTTGGGTTCTGGCGATTTCTTCGCGGTTTTTGGGGTTTAAAGCTGGGCTGCCTCGGAGAAGCCCCGGCCGAAAGGCGACTCTGGCACTCCGCCGGCCTAATTCCTCGGAAGCTCTCCCCTTAGTTCCCACCAAAAAAAGAGCATCTGCGCGAGAGCCGAAGGCGGGGATTTCTGCTTGGGGGCTCTGCCGGCCCGGAGCTTGGTCCCAGAGGTGGGCACCACAGCTCCGGGCCGGCAGAGCCTTCATCCAAAGTCCACCAAACACCGGAAACCCTTCAAAACCCTTCAAAAAACCCATGAAACCCTCAACCCTTTAAACCCTTTAAATTCCATGAAACGCTGAAACCTTAAACCTGAAACCCTGAAGCCCTGTTGTGCGCCCTTGCTCGGGCCAGCCGGGATCCGCGCCCCCGAGCATGGTGCCGAGCCTAAGCCCTCAAACCCTACAAATCCCACGAAACCCTCAACAGTCGCTCGCTCGCGCGGCCCCGGGCATGGCGCCGAGTCCCCATCGCAGTGGCGGCTTTCCGCTGGCTTTCGAGGACCGCCTTGGGCCGTTCAGGCCGGATGAGGGATGTTTCTAACAGTCGGGGGGGGGGGGGGGGGGGGGGGGGGAGGGGGTTTTTAGGGCCTAAACAAAGGGGTGTTTTTTAGGGCATAAAAAAAGGAGGTTGTTTAGGGCTTAAAAATAGGGGCTTTTTTAGAGCTTGATTCATGGTTAGAGGGGTTCGGAAGATGTACGGTGTCCCTCAGGCGTTACGCCTTGGTCAGAGCAGGGCTCGAGGGCTCCAAAGAGGGCTCCCGGGGGGCTTCGTTTCTTTTTCATCTTGTTTGGGGCTCTGGGGGCGGCTCTAGTTAATTACGGCTGGGATCAGTTTAGATATTTGGGGTTTAGGGTGTTATGCAGGGTGCTACAGGGTTTGATCATTATTTGGGGTCGGCAGGGTTTTTTGCCTTTTCCCCCTACGGTGATCTTCTCCACTAAGTGCACTAGCAGTTCGGACTTCTCACCGGTGTCAGGGAGAACTGTCTGGTTCTTAGTAGGAATGGGGGCATGGGTTATGGGGGATGTGATTGGGGATTGTATAGGGGGCTACTATAGGGATCCCTTCAGCAGGAGTCCAGCCCCAAAGCGAAAACCTCCGAATCCGAAGCTCTGACTGTTTGAGCGTGAGATCGATGGACTTGATCTGCTGGGGGTTCATTCGAAATCCTGTTCCTTATGGGTTCTTTATTCTGATTGGAGTCTGCTATACCTATCCCCCTTAAGGCCCTAAAACTTATGCTAATCAGTATTAAAGGATGAATATGTCCCTTCCTGTCCCTACATGATCCGAATATGATGATACCACACTATACCTCCCCTAACCCTGTTCTGATTCTCACAGTCTGTTTTGTTTCTTAACGTGCTTGTGTGAGGACCAGCCTTCCTCTTGTGCAGTTCTCAGGCGCGTGCATTCTCCGTCGTCCGCTCTCGGGGTTGGTAGGCCTGTCATTGAGGCTAGGTGTGCTCCTTGAGTCAAGCAGTTGCGTAATGTTTTGTGTGCTTTTCGTCGTGCAGGTCCTGCGGAAGAGCCCCGGCAGCGAGTGCGGCACTTGCAATGACCGAGCCCCAAAAAAGCAGAAGAAAGGAGCTTTGGGCTTTGAGAGGCCTTCTTGAGCCTCTTGGGGCTTCGCTGAGCCTCAGAAAGCCACCCAAGCGAGAGCCTCGCCGTCATCCCTTTTCCCAAGTACCATTCTAGCTTGATATTACTCCAAGCACCATCCTTCCCTCTTGGAACAGGAAACACTATTCCAAAACATGCATCTCTCCAAGTTCTACCCGGTTCCATGCGCCTCTTTCCCTGCCTCGGTGAGTTCTCAATCCGTGAATTCCAGTGGGAAGTTGAGGAGCCCCAGGGCGGAGACCCAGGGTTCGACAGTCTCGACATACAGTACCCGTCATCAGAGGTGTTTGCTTCTGCTGCATCCTTACCGCTCTGGGGCTTCTGGGGTAGATCAACCAGCCGCATTCACAGCCAGAGGGCTTTTTCTCAGCGGGAATCCTGGACACATCTCGCGGGCTTTGGGGTGGACTTCACAGCAACTCCAAGAAGGCAAGCCTTCGCAGAAAAATCGGCACAGCTGTCAGTGTTTCGCGTACCCTGTTGCGTGACTTCTCAAGGCTCGGGGTGTGCCGTGTGTGTCTCTGTGGAGAACCCGTCTGGCATGCCAGCAACCACCACGGCGTTTTTCTTGCGTCCAGCTACATCTAGTTCTGATCGTTAGGATGGCTCATCAACGTGCGTTTCGCTCAATTTCGAATCCACCCCCGAGCAAGCATGGCGCGGATACCGGGGCAGCCTGCCTTGGAGGCCCTGGCACTTGAATCTTTCAGTTCCAGTCATCGCTTCCATCGTGCCTCACAAGCCCATTACTCGGCTGGTCACTTGCAGCGGACCTGGGAGGACAGCTTGCCTGGAATGCCGGAGCTTCCTGAGGAAGCTGCACCGGCCTCGGCACGTGTGCACAACTGTGTGTTCACCTGAATGGCGCAAGGATTCGTTCGGTCAAAACTCAGCGGTCTGCCGCACGCACGTGAGGCTCCTGCATCCGCGCAGCTGTCGCTGCCCTCGTGCCACTCTCAGACGAGCCTTGATTTGGAGTCGATGCGCAAAGCCGCCCTTTGCCGCAACATACCCCCCCCTTCCCAGCAGATCTTGGAATGCTTCTTTGTCGATCGGGACGGTAAGAAGACTAATAATAGAAATAATGATAGTAAGAATAACAAGGAACAGAAGTACTACACTCGGATCAGTCACTTTCTTAGCCATGCGGGTTTTAGCACTTCCTTTCCGATGGATTCAAAGAAGCCTTCGAGGGCCCAGTATCCACCGGCGCCCTTCTCCTTGTTTATTGCTTGCTCGTAGTATGGTTATGACTATATCACAGGCGCCGCCCCAGGGGGGGTCGGCGGATTCTTGCTATTCTTGCTATTAAACAGCTTTTATTTCTCATTACTATCATTACTACTTTGTATTATTCGTAGTCTCATTATTGTTTTTGTTCTTGTTCATCTCTCCTTATTGGAACCGCCATGTGAATTCTTGTATTGTCATGAGTGTTCTTATTCCTATGCTTCTTCTTATTGTCAGTATTGCTAGTCTGCTTTTGGGGTCTTTACTACAGGTCCCCAGCGTCAGAGCCCAGAGTCCCTCCCAGGCGCAGGCGCTGCCCTGCTGCGGAGCATAGGCTCCGAGGCCCGGGCGGTCCTCGGCCTCTGCTTCTCGGGAGTTTCGGTCCGAGCGGGCGGAGCGAGAGGGGAAGCTGGAGACTAGCATATCTAGGATTTTTTGGGTTTAGGGTTTGGAGAAGGAATTAAAGAAAGGCAGAAACAGAAGAGCATGAAGAAACGAAGGGGGGGCTTTGCCAACCAACACCGCCGAGCCTGCCGGAGGGTGGCCGAAAAGCGCCTCGAAGCCCGGGAAGTTCCAGCAAAGAATGTAGAGCTCCCCCCCCCGAAGTTTCATCGCCGAGAAGCCCTGAAACCTATACTCCCACACCAAAGGCAGCAGCACCAATCCCAACCCCAAGGGGCCGCAGGGCACCGGAAACTCCGAAGCTTCCAGCGCTCGAAGAACTCGGAGGGTCTTCTTCCCTTTGCAGCTTCTCGGATGTTCGCCCAAGAGTAGTTTGCATGCGCAAGCTTCTCTCTTCTCAGTTCTCCGGCCTCGCCTGCGAAGTGCCTGTGCCTGCTTCTCTCCCCCCAGCCCTCCACACTCACCCTCCAATCCCGCTCCCACCGCATCATCCTCAGAGGGTAGCCTGTGGGAGGCTACGCCCCACTAGTGAAGACCACTTGTTTTTCAGATCTGAGCTTCGCTCTCGCATTACGCATGTTACAGCTGAGAGCCCTGCTTGCTGAGTGGCCCTCTGTCATGCTTGCGAGCCGAGCCCTATAGCCCTTCCCCGATTTTGAAGACCCCTTTATGGCTAAAGCGGAGAAGACCCAGAGCCGCGGACGCGAAGGCGACCTGGCAGCGGCGTCCAGAGACTTGTCGGGTCTCGGTGCTCAGGCCGGGTTGCATTGATCTCGGACTGTCGCCGGGGGCGATCTCTTTTCGTCAGGGCTGCGGTAAGTGTGGTTTCGGTTGGACGGCTGTGGGCGGCCAGGTTTTGGGACTTGGGAGGGCGTACGCATGGCACTCTTGGTTGGTGTGTTTTTCTAGTCGGGAGTGGAGTGAAAGCCTGAGCTGAGTTGGGTGAAAGCTTTCTCCGAACGTCAAGGCATGTTTTGCGAGAGAAGGGACAACTCGCCCGCTTGGGGGAATTGCAGTCAGCTCCCGTTGTCAGAGGCGTGCCACGTCGAAGACATGATGCAGGCAGGTTAGCCCTAGCAGCGATACCTCGTGCATCCTGAACTCTTCGCAGCCCAGCGACTACGTTTCGTCTACCAGCCCATTGCGCCTCGGCAGGCGAGTAGAAGGATCCTGGGCGACGTGTGCCTGAAGCAGCTGGACCATCTCACGGCACCGTCGGAGAAGGCGTGCTGCACCGGCAGCCGCGCTGCATCGCTGAGTCTCCTCCCACGCTGAAACCGTGGCTTCGCGCTGCGCAGGCCCCGAGCGCCGCTCAGCTGCGGCAAGTCAGAGCACTTGTGGAGGCGCCGTGCGCTGGAGCTTCCAAGTCCAAGCAAAAGCAGCCGTGCCCCGACTGGCCGAACTGGGAAGGTGCAAGAGGACCTTCGAAAGACCATGCAGGACGCGGAGCTGCGGTCCCGCCTGCAGGACGGAGCCAAAATTGAAAGTTGCAGGTTTTTGATCTTGCGAGAACCTGGGCTTCTTGACTGCTGTTGTTGCGAGTAGACGAGTAGATGCGAGACTTTTTCACATGTGAAACGCTGCAAGCAAGCCGTGCTGCTGCATGCATCCTATGTATCCCGATTTCCGAATGTATCATCCCGGGTAGCAAAAGACTCTCTCACTGGGTAGGGTAAAAGTCTCAAAACCGGCCTTAGAACTGGTTCTTCCATCAGCTCTGGCGGCCGGAGCCAGGAGCAGCAGAGTTTGCACCGAAAGGAGCTCGAGGACCGTCTCGACTGCCTCCTCAGACTTCGCGGGACGATGCTTCACTCGGTTTTTTCTATTATCTTTCCTGGGTCTCCTCGTCGGAGCAGCAGTTTTTGTGAGCGATGCCTCCATGCTTCACAGCTTCGCAGGAGCAGAAAGCTTCCTCCCAGCAAGCTCTGGAGGCCGTCCGCGCCCATCCTTCCCGCAGTTCGTGAAAGTTTCAGGTTAAATGGGTGAGAATGGGGCGAGGGGATTCGCAATGTGTGGCTCATGTGGCTGTTGGCTTTACCTGTACCGAAACCAGGGCAGCCTCGGGGAAGTCTGTGCATTCTGTTCCTGCGGCAGCGTCTGCTTGGGAGGAGCAGAAGGAGTTCTTCGAGAAGGCTCTGAAGGACCGTTCCGACGATTCACTTCTTCGCCGCTTGCCGAGTTGAGTTGAGACTCTCCGACGCATGGGGATGCCCTCCGAATGGCAACCTGGAAGAAACCCTAAGATCTTTTCTTTCCAGTACATGCGACAACTTGGTCGTGGTATGCTACGAGTGATTGCGGCTTCCTCGAATTCAGCCTGGCATGCCCGGCAGGAGCTGAGGGAGACTCTTCAGAAGACTCCTGCGGCTACCGAACAAGCTGACCTCGAGGCCTTGGAATCTGTCTCCCATCTCGTTTCGAACTGTCGTTGCAGAGCGATCTGTAAAGACTTGCTACTATAATTAGTGTCAGCTGCGGTGCACGTAGGCCTTGATGTGACCATGCGGGGCAATACCGGCAGGAAGTTGAAATAGATGGTCTGCGAGAGTGAACTGGGGCCGCTGGGTAAGAGTCTCTCATCATGCGGCACCTTGAAGGAAGGCCCCCAATTTGAGGCCGACTTTGGAAGCAGAGCCTCCATCTTCAGGAGGCGGTGCTGCCGGCGGCGGACGGCTTTCACAGCGCCTCCAAGGCATTCGCGGCCGAAGAGGCGTCCGGCACGACCCAGTATGTTTTCGCACAACACACTGCGTGACCCTGACGAGAGCCAGAACCCAGGTAGCGGTGCCGATCGACCAGGCCGCGGCGTTCCGCATTCTGTGTAATTCTGTGGCATGGGCTTTCCCAGCCCTTCCGAAGCAGGTGCCCAGAGGCCTTCGCTTGGATGATCTGCTGCGTTTGGTGGAGGAGCTTTTTCGCGAAAAGTGTGCTCATGAGCCGTGCCGTACACTGTCTGATCTGCCTGCTGCAAGGAGAACAAAGAGTGGCTTCAAGGCCCCACGGCCCGGGAGAAGATGACGGGCCGGAAGAACATGTACGACGTCACTCCGGAGCTCATCATCGCACGATCCCCGGGCATCCGGAGAGCGGAGTTGCCGTCGCCATCTGGCACTGAACACTTTCGACTCCGAGCCGAGGTAGCGACGACGTGCAGCTTGTTGTTCATTAGAGGGGAGGGTTTGCCCTGAGTATCCTCTCTGGGCCACTGCTGCAAAGACCCTCCCTCTCTCTCTGTCTCTCTGTCTCTCTGTCTCTCTGTCTGCCTGTCTCGCTCTCTCTCTGCACTCGTGAGGTGAGGAACGCATCGTGGAGCTTGCGGAAGAGGATGCCGAGAAGATCGCGAAATCCCTCGCCGGCGGTGACGACGGAATCTTCGTGAAAGGCTCCCTTCAATGTCGGGAGGGAGCCAAACTCGGAGGTCTCCCCGTGGAAGCTCGGCTCGATCTTTTCATGCGACGGTTTAGTTGAAATTGTACGTATGCAGATCGAAGGATGTCTTCCTTTTGTGCCGTCGGATGCCAGCGCGAGTGTTGGAAGTCAGGAGAACCTGGTGATCCAGGGGGTCCTGTGCCGGTTGCTCAGGGTTCGCATCACGTGTGGTGTAGGTGTTCCCAGAGCAACGGATGCGAAAGTCGGCGAAACATTTGTGTCGAGTTGTGAGACTCGAGGCGAGGACGGTGCGCAGCGCAGGGAGTACTGGAAGCATGGCAGTGATGCTTGGCTGATGCGCATGGACATCCCGCATTACCCAGGGCAGCGGCAGACGGGATGACTTTTGTCAGGAGCGTCAGGAACGGTGGCGCACCACAGACAACCATGGACGCCGGCCGTGTCAGGACACTGGGCTGCATGGAGCCTCAGCAGTCACGCAAGGGCTTGGCGATGGCATCAACGGTGGCCTTGGCCATCTGCAGGATGCGATCCCTTCGAAGCTCCTCGGGAAGCAGCTCGGCGAAGAAAATGCTCGCCGCAACAAGAAGCTACTCCAGCAGCCGGGCACAGTCGTCGTCCTGCGCACTGGCGCACCTTGATCGCACCTGGGGAAGTCTGGACCTGCGAAGTTTGCGGCCGTCAGAACTTGAGTCAGGTGGCCTACGTGGACGTCGTTGAGCAGGGCGAGTTTGCGCCCCTTTGCGCGTTCGCCTCGCATTTTTGGGGGGAGGACAGCAGAAATGAAGCCCTAAACCCTAAACTCTAAACCGAGCTTTGGCCTCGGTGGCCCCAGCGCGCCGCAGGAGACCGTGGCGTTCGCCGAGTCTCTGCGACTGCATGCTGAGACGGTGCACCCCAGAAATCCAGGACACCCAGAATCGCAGAATCCGCGGTCGTGCGGTGTTGCTTCGACGACTTGGCAAGCAAGATCCTTTAAAACATCAGCGCCAGGAGCCATGTGCTACTACATCTGCTCGTTGCTTGGCAGGGCGGGGCCCGTGCGTTTGATTCGGAGCATCGAAGCCGAAGGCAGCTTCCAAGGCTCATCTCTATCGGAATACGGCCGGAGATCCGGAGAGACGTCTAGGCGACAGCTCAGGTTCTCGAATTGCCAGCACCTCGTGGCCGGCTCCTTACTGTACACAGTCTTACGGTCTGCAGTCGACAGACCGCCCCTTTAGGATCTTGGAACGGATTGGCAAGCGTCACCCTTCAATCGGGCCCTGGAGCATGTAGCCGCATGCTCCGTCCTGAGTTGCTGGAATCGGCGAGCTTAAGCTTGAAGTGGGTCAGGTTGCCAACAGTCAACATCCTGTCATGAGGCCGGCGCGTGAAGCAGGACTCCGTGTACTGTGCGGTGATGCTGCTCCGGCCTCGGTGAATCAAATCCATGCAGAGTCAGGGAAGATTGCCGCATTTTCTCTGACAGTTTCGCCCGGAGGTTCGACGAGAGGTGCAGCACGCTTGAGTGGCCTGGTTGAGCAGACTTTCAAGATGGCGTCTATTTAGTCTATTTCGCTCCTCCCCGACACATGGCGCCTTAGGAGGATTTGGTGCATCTTCGAAATCTGGCGCTGCTGCCAGTTGGAGCTCCGATTAGACTTGTGCCTTGTTTCAAGCAGCGTCGCGCCATGAAGTATCTCAGCACATTTCAGCTGTGTTTGCAGTGCAGACTCTGCCGGGCTTCTGCAGGTTCTGCGTGGATGGGCAGCTGAGTCGCCGATCCAGCACCCCCCTCGCCTGCAAGATCCGCGAGCAGGCGAAAGTCCTGGACGTGTCCAACACCGAGTGCTCCGAGATGAGCGATGCTTGGCTGAGGACAGGAAGCGGAGTGAAGCGCGCAGGTCAGGGTGCGGGTCGGGAGTGCGTGGGTGCTCTGCACTCGCTTAGCACGCAGAGTTGCTGCCGCATCCCAGGACAAGCGAATGATCGAAGCAGCGGTGAAGACCAGCGGTTGCAGCTGGGCCCAGATCGCCGGCACCATTCAACTCCAGGCCCGTGCTTTGCTGTGCTTTGCTGCTTTGCCCTCAGTATGCCATCCGGCCCCCTCCCTGGCAAGGTCACCAACCTCGTGGAGTTCTCCGCCAGCCTGGCCATCTCACGGAACGCCCTCACAGGCGGCCTTTGGAGCTTCGTGCTGTATGTACAGACTAAGACTATAGGGGGTGAGCGGCGCTCCGCACCGGCACGTGTCTGCAGGCGAAGAGGTGACAGCAGAGGACGTTGAGATGCGGATGTCCGAAACCTTGCAGGCCCCGGCCCTGCAAATGACCCCTAAGGGACTGTATCCAGTGGCACCGCATGAGCAGGAAAGCTTGCACGGGATGGCTCAGCTAGGCCCTGACAGCTGAGGTCCGGAATTCGTCCAGCATCATCAGCGACTGCATGCAGGCCCGAAACATGAAAGGATCGAGCGGTTCTCTAGCAACGTCACTGCCGCCTTGCCTGCTGCAGGGCCGGCTTCAGCGCATCCTCGTCGTCGGGCAAGGAGGCAGCCCACAGCCGCTCTCACATCGGACAGTCCTTGGCTGGGCCGTTTCCCCTGCGCCTGACAGAGGTACTGGAAAGTCGGTCTTCGCGCGCGAGGTCGTGAGGAGAGCCGCGCAGGCGCTTTTTTCCTGCCTTCTGTGTCCGATGTCGCATTCCGTGCATTCCCTCGCCACCGTGGTTCATGTCGTTCGTTCCATGCTGCGGCCTTTCTACCAGGCGCGGGAGGAGGGCGCGGGCCCTCATATTTGAGCTGCGAAGTTGCAGGACTTGGTGAGAGCTGAGGTGGGGTCCAGGAAGAAGTCATCCCGATCCGGGTCCCCTTGGCAGAGCTGGCAGACATCAAGGACCCGCCCGGCTTGAGCAAGGTATGTTATGTATACGCATATACGTATGTATATACATATACATATATATATATATATATATATATGTATATATGTATATATGCATATGCACACACATATATATATATATATATATATATATATATATATATATGTATTTACAAATAGAATACCATACACACATACATATAGCATGTATGTATGCACGGTTATGTATGATTATGTATGACGACCTTTGAGTGTGTATCATTATGTGTCACTATGTCAGTTTATGCATGATTATGTATGTACGTAGCATGCATGAATCTATGAATAGATGAATGAATGAATGCCTGCACGAGCCAGACATGATGTTTCAAAGCAGTCTCCGCCACTGTTGCACGTGTGTCGCGGGTGACGCCACTGCACAGAGTAGATGCCGTTTACCAGCAGGAAGGAGTCGATCTGCCACTGCTCTGCACTTCAGATCCCACCGGCTTTCCTTCTTGCAGAATCTAACATTGCGAGGTGCAAGTCTCGCAATTGCAACCAAAGGGTTCCTGTGCAGACGCTGAGGTTTCAGGCCTGGGCAGAGCGAGCCTTCGGCAGCGACAGCGACGAGATTTTGAGAGGCGCGGCGCCGCACTCCGTCACCTGATGTTGCCGCGGTGGCTGTTGCTGTTTCAGGCGATCGGCAACTTGTCCTAGTTCTGGACGGCCTGGACGAAGCCGCCACGGCCCGCCGACGGATCCTCAATTGGCTCCAGCAGTGGCTGCAGCTCTTCGGCCAGAAATTTGACCTTGAATTGTTATGTTGGAGCACTCAAGCCTGCTTGTTGTCAATGCTCCGGCCCAGGGCAAACGGCCACCGATGCGTTTGCACCATCATCGCCTCTCGGCCGTCCGGGACCAACCAGCCCGGATCCCAGGATTCGCGACTTGCATCAGCGTTTTGCCCGAGGGTTCTAAACCTTTCCGCAGCATTTCGGTCGATGGCCGATCCCTGCACCCCGCTGCCCCCGATTCATCTCGATTCTGGGCTGAGGGTATTGGCCAGCGATGGCAGCGCTCGCCAGCCGGCGGCGTCGGCCGTGCTTGGCCAGCTCTCCGAGACGTCGCTGCTGACCCAGGCAGCCCGGTAACCTGCGACTGACTGCAGCTTGCACGTTTCAGGCAGCATCACATCCATTAGCCGCATCAGCTGCTATTTTTGGATCATGTCCGCGGTGGTCTCCACACTCGTAGCTCATTGCGGCTGCCGACGGATGCACTCGCGTTTTGGCTTCTTGAGCCGAGCCGTCGCAGGAGCCGCTGCCGGTCTCCTCTCGCGTTCGACTGCACGACGGCGCTGGGCAGAGCCTGGGAGTTGGCACCGTCCTCTCCTGCGAGGAGGCGCCGCCGGCACAGCGGAAAAAGCTCTTTCTCGAGAGTCGCCGGCACAGAGCTCTCCGGCCACTGGCCAGGGCTTCCTTTTGAAAAAGAAGAAGGACGAGGTTGGCCTGAAGCCCGGGGTGCCCTCTCTGAAGGTGCGCCGCAAGGCCCGCGTGTGCACTCCTGTCCTCAGCCGTAGCTTGGGAAACCGTCACGTGAGAGTGGCTGCTGACAGGATCCGAAGCAGGTCTTCTCCGCCACGGTGTGCCTCGACTACGCCGACCGCTCCAGTGCCCAGGTGATCCTGGAGCGGGCCTTCCGGGAGGCCGGCGGCGATCTGGAGAAGGATCAGTGCGCGGTGGCGCACCGGGCCGACGGCGAAGACTGGAAGGACCAGGCGCCCGCTTCCTGCGCTCGGAGCTTCGGAGCTTCGCAACCTTTGCGTGCGACTGCCAGGGCTCCGCAGGCATCTTACACCCCGACTACGGCGTGATGATGTCCTGGCCCAGAGGCGCCTTTCCCTGCCGCGCCTTCCTCAAGACCAGAGTCGACACGGCCGACGCCGACTCTGCGGAAGACCGTGAAGTCGAAGACGCGCAAGTGTGCAGGCCTCAGATCGAGCGCTCAGCCAGCAGGCGATTCGCCCAAGCACCTGCGCAAAGCATATACCGACAAACAGGAGCCTCCGCGAGACGTCGGCCGGCATCTTTCTCTCGGCTGACCTGGAGCCAGGCCGCCGCTTTCTCTCTTTTCAGGGCTCTCTTGCTGCAAGCCTCAGTGCTGAGGCGATGTGGTCGAGTTCGGAAGCGGCGGCATGCTGCGGAGAGAACTCCTTCCTTTGGACCGCCTCTTGGCGAAACTTGGACGTTGCTGCCGTCGCATGGCTTTGTGGTGTAAAACTTAAGCCTGCGCTTGTTGCAGTGACAATCGTTCACGTGGATGGTGGGTTTCATTTTGAAGGTGTTCCGTCCGTGGCCATTTTGGACTCAAGGGCGACACCGATCTTTGGAGGTGAGCCCAGGAAACAGGTGGGGTGCTACATGGACCGGGCGGTCGTTCCCTGGACTGACTTGCGTGGCTTCGCCCCAGGCGACGCGCTTGTCTTGTTCGGGGTCGAAAGCCTGGTGCCGTGGGCCCTCCTTAGCCTGTGCACGTGTGTCTGGGTCCTTGGCTTCTGTTGTGGTTGCCTGGTGGCTCAGCCGAGCTCGAGGGCCCACACAGGCACGCAGAGCATCTACGCCAGGGCCTATCCTACACGAGGGCCCCGCACTTCAGCATGGACCCGACGGAGACCGAGCTACAAGCGATCACCGACTTGGGAGGGGTGCTCGCATGGGCAGGGGTGACCGGGGGCTTGGAAACGGCACTCCGAGCCGCCCTCGGCGACCCAGCCCGCGTGAGGGAAGTGGCCCTCG